ACACACACACACACACACACACACACACACACACGCACACAGCTCAGCAACAATGGCCAAACATGAAACAAAAAAAATTCAAATTATCTGTATATAATTATCTGTATATAATAGTACATTATATTATTAAGATTAAAAAAAGATGGAAAAGAGACCCCCTGTTTTATAGTGTACAATATTATATTTTAGCTACCTAAACTAAACCTAAACTACCATATTCATGTATTAAATTACAAACTTTTCTGCCAAATACATAAATACAAACTTAAGTATTTCTGTAAAGACACTCACAGAACAGGAATGTTCTCAGTCTGACCTCTAGCGAGGGTTACACAAGTAACCTAGACGTTCCCTTTCAGTCAGTCACATTCTACGTTACGTCAGTCGTGACTGACGAATTGGGATCTGTATGGAAAACGCCACTATTGCTGACCCCCACCAGTGCCCTGCGGAAGCCGGCAAGTCCCCCCACACAGTTGGGGCTGAAGATAGGACAGGGCTAGGCAGAGGTGTCCGCCACTGCTGTTCCGTACAGTGGTACATTGGATAACACTGGGAAAGCGTACCCAAGTAGGGGAACGCTACGGAAGCCACATCCTGCGCATTGGAGGTATCATGTGGAATTACACATATGGACTGGCCAAGGGCAGTGCTACATATGGAAGTCTCTGCGGTAGACTCAGCCCACCTGGGGTGAGATACTACGCAGCAGGAATGGCAGAGAAAACTCTGCTAGGGAAAGACACGGGCTTACCGTGAGGGAAGCCGTACCATGGAAGAATACACATGTGGGATGACCCGAAGTGGAATCACTACACACGGGCACCTAGTCCAGCACAAAGGATGACATTGGGCATACACACGAGTGCTGGACCTGGTGTCTGGCGCTCTGCCACGCCTGACCGCCGAAGGTGCGGGAGGAACTTCAACAGGTTCAAGCGTGATCGACACCGAGCAGGACCGGTGTTACTGCCTATCTGAGGCGAGTACACAAGAGGACATGGGCTCTACACGGAGATTATAGAATCTCGCAAACATGTTAGGTGTCGCCCAGCCGGCAGCTCTACAGATGTCTGCTATCGAGGCGCCCCGTGCCAATGCCCAAGAAGATGCCACTCCTCTTCGTGGAGTGTTCTTTGTTTGGAGACAGCTTTTCCCTTCTGCTGTCCTCCGAAGCAGACAAATAGCTGGTCTGAGGTCCTGAAGCTCTGCGTACGGTCCACATAAATGCGCAAAGCGAGATGAGAGACGTGCTGAGAGGTTGACCGAGTCCAGCTCCATGCCGAGAAAAGAGATCCTCTGCACCTGGGAGAGTTTGCTCTTTTCCCTGTTGACCCGAAGCCCCAATCGGCTGAGGTGACTGAGCACCATATCCCTGTGTTCGCACAACTGCGCTCGGGACTGGGCCAGTATGAGCCAGTCGTCGAGGTAGTTGAGAACGCGAATGCCCGCTTCCCTCAATGGAACGAGGGCTGCCTCCACGACCTTGGTGAAGACACGAGGCGACAGGGATAGCCCAAAGGGGAGGACCTTGTACTGATATGCTCACCCTTCAAACGCAAAGCGAAGAAACGGCCTGTGTCGAGGGAGAATTGAGAAATGAAAGTATGCTTCCTTGAGGTCGATCGCTGCGAACCAATCGAAAGGACGGACACATTGAAAGATGCATGAACGGGAGCTTGTGAAGGGCCCGGTTCAACATGCTCAGGTCCAAGATTGGTCGTAACCCACCACCTTTCTTGGATATGATGAAGTATGGGCTGTAAAACCCTGACCTCATCTCAGCTGGAGGGACCGGCTGTATCGCGTCCTTCGCCAGCAGGACCGCGATCTCTGGACGCAAGACAGGAGCATCTCTGTCCAACACAGAGGTGAACCGAATGCCCCTGAACTTGGGAGGGCGCCGGGCGAATTGTATCGCATAGCCGAGTCTGATGGTTCTCACGAGCCAGCGAGATGGCCTGGGGAGTGCTAGCCAGGCCCCCAGTGACCGAACAAGCGGGACTAGGGAGACCACTGACGTACCTGCAGTGGGGCAGTGAAGTGGAACACAGGGAACCACCTCCGAAGGCAGAGCATCCCAGAGTGGGGTCTGAGTGCACGTCGCACCACTTACCTGGCTCCATGGCTGGGCAGGGGGCACGTGAGGAGGCCTGGCATCCTCGAACCGGGCCCTACTGCCCACTGGCGAAAAGAGAGGGGGACGGGAGTATGGAGACTGTGTCTCGTGCACTGCCATCCTTGCCCTCTTGGGACCCAGAGAAAAAGGAAACTGCTCTTTTTTGAGGTTCTGGGTACCACTGGCTGGGGAGCCAGTTGCGGAACAGAACAAAACAGGAACAAAGGATTCTCCACCCGGCCCTCCTCCGGGGGAAGGAGTGGTGCAGTCACCACCTCCTGAAGAGCAGGATCCAAGGACTCTGGGTCGCCCATCTCAGGGATGCCGCCTGCCCTGGCGCTTCACGGGCTGGGCATGGGCGGAGGCGGACTGCGCCTCTTTCCTGCGGCCAGATCCACGATGCGGCCATTGTGAAGGCTGCTGCTGTGGCCGAGCTGGAGCGGAGGTGGAGGCCACAGGAGGGCGCCCTCGGCGACGAGCAGACAGAGGGGCTGCAGCCGGCGGTGGGGTGGAGAAAGCAGCAGACCGCCAGGGCAGGATGTGCTGAAACGCCTCCCTCTGCTTCTGTGCGGCGGAGAACTGTTGGGCAAAGCCCTCTACCGGTTCACCAAATAGGCCGTCCCAGGAGATCGGGGAGTCCAGGAAGCGATGCTTGTCGGCCTCCCTCATATCCACCAAGGTCAGCCATAGGTGGCGCTCCTGGACCACCAGTGTGGACATCATCTGACCCAGGGCCCGCACTGTGACTTTCATCGCCCTAAGTGCGAGGTCCGTCACAGTACGCAGTTCCTGCAACACACCTGGGTCAGCACCACCCTCGTGCAACTGCTTCAACGCCTTGGCCTGGTGGACTTGCAGGAGGGCCATGGCGTGCAGGGCGGAAGCGGCCTGTCCAGCAGCACTGTAAGCCTTAGCCGTCAGAGCGGACGAGAACTTACAGGCCCTGGA